GAAGCTAATCCACATTTGACTATTCAGGCAAAGATCATTTTTAAAGAGTCAACACTGCCCCCTAGTGTCATTTATATGTGTAGACACGTGACTCGCGAGTACTGCGGGATGATTAGAAAAAAATTAAAGTAGAAAATAATACAAAATATATTTAAAAAATAGTATAATAATAATATAAATAATAGATATTTATAATATATTTCAAATATAATATATATATATATATTTGATATTAAACCAAAACAAACAAAAACACATACTAGCTAGGCTACTTTTGCTATGTGTAGAGTTAACTGACATTTCAGGGGTATACAGAACAAAAAAAACGGGTGTGAGGTAGTTTAATATCATTCACTGTCCATTTGTGGGTCCTTTTTCCAGGGCTCAGAGAGTACTTAAAACATCATCCTCACTAGTCCCCGCCTATACGCGGCAGGTAAGTATTAATAAAAGGATTTTATTATGAAAACCCAGCAATTATAGTTAGACTCAAGCACCCTCGTCCAGGATCCCACCCCATCTGAATATGAGTCTAAACGCAAAGCACTTCTGATTCAATTTGTGCAAGCGGCAGGGGTGTATGTGTTATTTTAACGGAGGAGGGAGTGGAGGACCACTCAACTTCAAACAGGACAGGGTCTCTCTGTGAATGTATGTGTGTGAGAGAGAGATTTAGGAAGCTTACCAAAGAGGTGAGATCATCAGAACGGCATATCAGTCAGAATTGGGCTGGTTGCTAGGGTGATAGTGAGAGGGTGGTGTATCTCTCTGAAAATGCCCCTTCAGAGGTACTGCCCACATACAGCTCTGTCACCAACAGAATCATGATCTGCAGAAGTGGCCGCTTGACACATTTTCAGCATTGTGAAGCATATGTTTCTCGCCCCTCTATCAGGTAATCCTGTAATTATTTTATTGTCTGATTATTTGTTTATTTAACAGAAACACCCACAACTAACCGATACAAGGGCCTTGAAAACAGAGATGAGAGCTGAAATGATTTAACATGGGCATACAGTATCAGAAGTCAAGCTGCACATCATTAATATGTATAGGCCTACTGTATATGTCTAATGGTGAGCACACTGCCAGAACAGAGCTGGATATCATGTTCATTGCGTTATGAAATTAGGGTATGTCCCTCATGTCGTTCCAAACTCGTAAGACCTTCGTTCATCTTCAGAACACAATTTAAGATCTTTTTGATGAAATCTGAGAGCTTTCTCTTTGCTCCATTGACATACACAACTGAAACTTGGCCACTTCAAAAAGTTCATAAAATTGTAAAACTAATCCATATTGAACGGGTTATTCCAAATTTTCTGAAGAGACTCGATCGTTTATATTCTTCGATTAAAAGATTGAATTTAGGCTTTTATTCACAGAAAAACATTTACCAGCAAACATAAACCGAAGCTCAAACATGCTGCGTAACACGAGAATGAATTGGTTCTCGCATGTCAAGCGAATAGGTTTGAGTTTCAGTTTACCACAACTGTGTGTTGATGAATGTTTATATGTGAATAAAAGCCTGAATTCAATCTGTTCATCATATAAAGCAATCGTGCCTCTTCAGAAAATTTGGACTAATCCGCTCAAATCATATGGATTAGTTTCACGAACTCTTTATGAACTTTTTGAAGCATCTTTGCGAAGCTGTCAATGGAGAGACAGAAAGCTCTCCGATTTCATCAAAAAGATCTGCATTTGTGTTCTGAAGATGAACGAAAGTCTTACGAGTTTGGAACGACATGAGGGTGAGTAATTGATTACAGAATTTTTGGGGGAGGATCACATGACACTGAAGACTAGTAATGACTGCTATAATAATATTTCACAATATTACTGTTTAGTATGGTGCTGTACTGTATTTTTGATTAAATAAATGCAGTCTCAGTGAGCATAACACTTTCAAAACGGTTTTGTATAGGCACTTTTTTGAACGGTTGTGTAGCTATAGGCCTACTTTAAATATACAGTGGCCCCAATAAGTATTTGGACTTAAGTCACATTTGAAATGAATACATTTCAATGCAGAAATAAAATATCAAACCAAGTGGCATATGTGAACAAATTATTTTCTCAAAACTTTAGTAACTTCTGTACAGTAACTTTAAATCCATTAACTTGAGGTCACAAGTATCACATACATTTTCTAAAGAGTCCAATAACAGACTTTGTACACTTTAGTTTTAAATCAATAATGCAATTGACCTTGATATATAATATAATACATTTAGACATTTAGAATGTTTTACTTGAATCTTTTTTTCTGAAATGTTCTGCTTGAAAAGCCTGGTTAATAAAATAAATGCTCCTTTTGATATTTCAGATATAAATGCAGTGCACTCATTCTTCAAGTGTGGATAAAGCGTAGCCTTCTGCCATACAACTCTTGACCACAGAACATTACATTTTACTAAGAGTACTGAAACTGTTGCAAAGCCTGGACAAATCGTCCAGAAGCTTGTTTTCAAACTTTCCATCCTTCTATTCATGGGAACAGTGAAACATAGATGCTGTCATCCGGATATTCTTTCTGATAAGCCACTGTAATTACTGGAATCAGAGCTCTATGTTATCATTAGCTTTGTGCGCAATGAAGAATGAAAAAAAATGAAGAGAAAGAGTGACAGTGTGAGAGAGAGAGAGATGAGTGCAAATTTGAGGGCATTGAACCCCTCCTCTTCACTTGCCACGGTTCAATTCAGATTCTAATACCATAATGCAGTTTTACTGGGAGCTGAAGCCTGCAGATTGTGCTGATGGGTATTGTGAGTTTTGATGGCTTAAATGAGTAAAAAGTCAGTGTGAATGCAAATGTACTTTGTTAGTGTCACCATGAAAATGGCAGCATGCCTTTTTAATGCCTTATTTTTACAGCTTTGATTATAGGTTGGGTATTCAAACAAGTGAATGAGAAAACAATGAGCAGGCAATCAGGACTTCATAAAGCAGAGAGCAGCATGGGACAGATTAATGAGAGTGCGTCACACACATACCCACTCAAGCAGCCTTTAGAAATGACACTCATGCGTGTGACATATTAAAAGAGGGCTTGCACTTTGAGCGGAGATGTGAAAAGGATCAGAGGACCGTTAACATGTAATTTAGAGTCCAATCTGACTGCTGTTTGCACAAAAGCAACAGAAATTCTGTCATCATCAATATGGAGAGACTTTTCGCGAGTCGCGTCAACCCTATCACGCAGACAGAGGAACAGAGGCTTCAATGGACATGGCTGGCTCATACACCCACATGTCACATACAGCAGCGTTCAGATGAACAACAGTTACTGCTTTTAATTTGGGTGTTAAAAACAGTCTAAATGAGAAGAATGGCTTCGGGAGAGAAAAGCACTAGAGCTAATGGATGGGAGACATTCTTTCCTATATCCCTATAACTCATAAAATCAATCAGCATACTCATTCAGACTCTTTATTTAACTGTGTGTTCCATCAGTCAGGGTTTGTGAAATCACAAATAAAACAGTATTTGTTTGGCTTAGAAGCAATAAGTAGAAGAAGCTTAGTGTCAATACAGTATGTTTGCCATGCTATTGTACATTTGGTAGATTCTATGACAGTTTTCATTGGCATTTTTAAATGTGGGATATTAAACCAAATCAAGCCAGGCAGGTGGGACACTGGTATGTAAAAAGGCATAGAGGATGTGTGTCTTGAGAGTGTTGTCCATGTTAAAAGCCACCCTTTTAGTGTTTTTTTTTTTTGTGTGTGTGTGGAAGGAGTTGGGTGAAATGATTGCCCTGTTTCACAGTGAAACTGCAGACAGAACAAAGTGATGGTATACTGCCACCTTTTGCCCAAAACAATTCAACCCCCCCCCCCCCCCTATATCTAAACATGCTCAAGATGACCTGTCACATGTGTATAACATTTTCCTTGTTATGTAGGTCCAACCCCCCCAATAATGACAATAAATGTAAAAGAGAGAAAATACAACAAGAAATAAATTTCCTTTAAATTTACACACATACACACACTTAAAATTTGTTTTTGCCACTACTTTAATGGTGTGGATTGTGGAAAGAAGTGCTTGCATGTTCCTTCCGCTGAATTATTTGTTGTGGTCACGTGAGAGGAAACTCATTTTAAACTTACTAGTGCTACGGCTCTGGTGCACGCGTCGTGTCAAAACACATCTACAATGAAACCCCATCAGCTGGAATGACCAGGTTAGGTTTTATGATTTATATAATAACAGAGTTTCTGACTACAGCTTCATATGCATGGACTTGATAGTTTATAATGTTTTTACATGCATGCTGGTTTGTGCTTTGACGTTGATGCGTTTACGGCTGTTTTGGAAATAATTATTCTCTAATATATGCATTTATTTAGAGTTGCCGTTTATTTAGAAAATGCCGTTTATTGCATAGGCTACTGTAGTACATGACATGTAACTTACAGTGTGCATTTCTTTGTTTTAACATGGACCCGCCGCGTGTGACGGTTTTTCTCGATAGATAGATGTAATGTTAGCTCACGTAGTTACTAAATTACACGGAAATAGACGAAATCTAAGACTTGTTTGTTAGGTGCCATGATCTTATTGTCCATAATTACACGTAGTAGACTGACATCTTTTAAGTCACCCAGTAAAGCAGGATGAACAGGTTTGGTATGTACGGAAGTCTCTATTGGACAGATGGGATGTTGCCAGATCTTTTAAAATAAAATACCTATTTGCTTTGTAAATATGTAACACTTTTACATTAAGAAAGCGTGCAGCGACCTCTAGAGCTAGAATGGAAGCAGTTAATTTCCCAGCATACGTTTGATGTGATATAAATTAAGACAAAATATACACAACAGGACCGACATGGCAACCCTACACTTCACGATTGAACTGAACAAGAGGGGGCGCTACAGCTCTTTGATTTTTTTTTGTCGGCGGAACAGAGCGGTGTGTGATTGGCTGTTGACGCGACGGAGTGGGCCGAACGGCGGTGTGTGATTGGCCGAGTGGAGGGACGGAGGGGGAAAGGCTGAACTGATCAGCTGGTCTCTGCAGATATCTGACTCCTACAAAACAATGTAGGGAAAAAGTGCTGAATGACACAATTGCCGGGAGGAGAAACACCGGATCACACATACCGTTGCGGAACGACCGGATCTAACGCGGTTGCAAGATTTTCCCCGGCCTTGCCGCCTGATTCAGAGAGGATACGCGCAGGACTGCAGTATAATATTTCCAGTCTCATTTGTGTTACTGTTTACCTTTGCTGTTTCACATTTCAGTGATGCGAAAGCGAAAAGCCAACGAAGAACATGACAGCTCGTTCACGGGTACACTACTGGACGGCTCCGATCTGAAGCAGTGCCACAAAAAGACAGACGCTGCTTCTGATCCAGGAGGCTCTGGGACAGCGATGGGAAGACGCTGCAGGAGGTGAGACTGATGGTACACATGTCATGTGGCACTGATGTTCTGTGGCTGACTCTATACCAAGTTTCTGGAAAGCTTGCTCAGGACTTCTCTTTGCTTAACATCAGTTTATACAGTACCAGGGAACCCTAGTATTTAAAAAAAAAAATGTAGCTGTATAATAATAACTTTCATTAAGAACATTAACAAATATGCATTTGGCTAGAAATCAGTAAATATATAATGGCATGGAACTTTTTTTTATATACAAATTGCCAGATATATATCATATCTTCTCTGATGACTCTTGTTTGGAAAGCCTGGCTCGAAGTTGTTTTTAAGTTATGTGTTTTATCTTGTGTATTTTCAGCATAGAGTCCCGTTTGATGTTTGTTAGTATGATATTACATGCATTATTGGCATTCCTCTGATATCCTAGTGGTTTTAAACTCTTATGAGGCATGGAGCCACATATTATTCTCTATGATTGAATCACAGTCCCATGTGACTCTCTTGAGACTCTAAAGCAGAGGTCTTCAATCCTGCTCCTGGAGGGCCACTGTCCGGCAGAGTTTAGTTCCAGCCTGCTTCAGCACAATACGAAGGTGTGTTCAGCTGATTCAGGTGTGTTTGATCAGGGTTGGAACTAAACTCTGCAGGACAGTGGTCCTCCAGGAGCAGGATTGAAGACCTCTGCTCTAAAGGGTATTTAGGCTGTAGTGTGAAGTGATTGTAAGTTTGGGATGTTTGTGCAAAGCTTAAAAACCATGTGTAGTCAATGCGGCTTTTAGTCTACATCTTTTAGCTTTGAGGCCCGTTTAATGTGCTCCTAAATGTTGACAAAATACACTTATAATGTACAAAATATACAGATATGCGGATTTAAAATATATAAGAAAACCCCAAATATTGATGACTCATCCTGCTCTTCACAGATTTTTGTCCAATCATATTGGGTTATTTATTTATTTAATAAGGCACAAGACCATCAATATATTGTCCAAACATCCTGTCTCAGTAAGAAATGTCACGAATGCAAACTTTCACGAGGTCTGACTGTTTGCAGGAAGTGCACAAGCATCTCAAGAATCATGTTGCACTTTTTTTTGTTCACTGTAACTAATTCCAGTTCAGACTCCACAAACCCTAAAATGTTGGTTTACACTTCCATTGTTTAGAAATTTGTAGTTCAAAATTCAAAGTATTGTGCTTTTGGGGAATTCATTTCTTTTTCGTGACACTGGTCACAATCTTTACCGTTTTTTTAATCGCACTGACCTTGTACATGGTAGCAAAGAATTTCTGTCTCAGTCGAGTGGAAAGTCCATCGGAGATCCCCTACATGCAAAAAGAGAGTCAGTTTTCTAATGCATGGTTAAGTGGCAGCAAGGTGATATCATCTGTAGACTTACTCATGCAGTTCATGTTTTTTACTGCTAAATTTAAAATAATGTAAGATTACATCATTGTAGGAGGATGCAATAGTCAGTCATGTTCAGCTGTTGTCCAGGCATATCTCTGCTCAATTATAAGGGATATCATTAGGCCTTAATATTAGGCCTTAAATACAAAGGTTCTAGAAATTTCTAAGTAGCTAAGGTGTGTTTACTGTTTAGTGATGTTATTCTTCTCGGCCAGGACTTGCTCTGCAGATCAAAGTGGGAGGAAGGTGGGGCATTACTGGACATTCTGGTCCAGCAATATGGTGTTAAAACATTGTACACTCAGCAAATAAACAATAAGTACTGCCAGAACATATTGCTGATTGGGAAACTGGAGGAGTTCCTACAGATCAATGCTTCTCAGCTGGTGGGTCGCAACCCCAAAATGCTTTTAAGATTAGAGGATTGTATTAGGTTTCATGGTTACCACATCATGTGGAAAATACACACTGCCTTTGAGTGAATTGCCTGTGACCTTTGACCCTGGAGGACAGTTAGAGGCCTATGCCTCATGTTTGCTTAATGTTGCACTACCATTCAAAAGTTTGAGGTCAGTAAGTTTTTTTTTTTCCTTAAAGAAATAAATACTTTCATTCAACAAGGATGTACTAAATTGATCAAAAGTGACAGTAAAGACATTTATAATGTTAGAAAACATTTCTATTTAAAATAATTCTATTATATAACAATTCCTTTTACTTTCTAAGTATATCACAGTTTCCACAAATATATTAGGCAACATAACTGTTTTTGGCATTGATATTAATAATAAATGTTTCTTGAGCACCAAATCAGCATATTATAATGATTTCTGAAGGATCATGTCCCACTAAAGACTGGAGTAATGATGCTGAAAATTCAGCTTTGACATCACAAGAATATATTGCATTTTAAAATATGTATGGAAAACAGTTGTTTTATAGTTGTTTAATATTACTGTTTTTACTTTACTTTTGTTCAAATAAATGCAGCTTTTGTGAGCATAAGAGATTTCTTTCAAAAACATTTAAAACATCTTACCGACCGCAAACTTTGAAACACTAGTGTATATGAATAGTGGCTATTAGAAATAAGCTAGAGCTCTTATGTTCTGATTAATCTGATTTATAGTGGAATTTAGCTTTACAGGGAAACGCTTACAGCTCTTAACTACAATAATGTTACAAATTATTGCAGTTAGTTTCAACTGAGCAGGTGTTATGAAATATTCCATTAAAAGATTGTAACTAACCTGTAAAATGTCCTGTTATAGAAGATGTTGTTTGTCAAATTAGCATGAAACTCTAGCAGGAAATGGTATGGTAAAGTTCTACTATCACATCTCATTTGAACTGAAATGCCACTCTACTATTGCACTGTATCCGATGCCGCAGTAATCGGACTCTCCTCCGGTGCTGTATGGGTCTGGGGTATTGGGTGCTGGAGCCGGTCATGTGTCCGACACAGGAGCTGCCGCTGGTTAGTCTGGTTGCAGTGACCTTTGTGTGGCTAGCCGGTTTCAAGGTTAACAGGGTCAGATCAGCTTTAATTCACAGGATCTGTGAAATTAAGTAAATTAGCTGAAATCCCATGTAACATTTTAGACATGGAAGTTAAAGACCTCATTACCGGTGCATTGCTTGAGGAGAACAGTGTTGACTTTTTTTTTTTTTTTATTGAAACAGGATGGTTGGTAATACTTTGGTGTTTTTTCTTGCTATAGAATATCATACATTTAAATACATACACTACCGTTCAAAAGTTTGGGGTCGGTACGATTTTAAATACTTTTAAAAGAATTCTCTTCTGCTAACCATGGCTGCGCTTATTTGATTAAAAATACAACAAAAATCAGTTATAGTATTAAATATTATTCCAGTGTAAATCAGCTGTTTTCTGTGTGAATATATAGTAAAGTGTAATTTATTCCTGTGATCAAAGCTGAATTTTCAGCATCACCAGTGTCAGTGTCTTCAGTGTCAAATGATCCTTCACAAATCAGTATAATATGAGGATTTGATGCTCAAGAAACATTTATTATTATTATCAATGTTGAAACAGTTGTTGGTCTGTCAGTTGTACAGTTTTTTTTTTTTTTTTTTTTAGGATTCTTTGATGAATAGGAAGTTCAAAAGAACAGCATTTGTTTGAAATAGAATCTTTTGTAACATTATAAATGTCTTTACTGTCCTTGATAAATAAAAGTATTGATTTCTTTCCTCCAAAAAATAAAAATAAAATTCTCACTGACCCCAAACTTTTGAACGGTAGTGTATGTCTGTAATTTTTTAACTAGCATTTAGGCCGTTGACACCTGGTTTGTTAAGATTTGTTTTCGTCGATTGGAGTACAAGTGGACGACGCTGAATACAGGTGTTAACAGGTCGTTTACTTTCGACCACTTCCAGAGGTAGTCGAAAACGCATTTGACCGGATTGCTTTCATAATTTTCTAGTTTGAACAGCAACAAAAGACGGCCTACTCTCCTCCTACTGACCTAATGCGTAAACATTAAGGGAAGAACGCTGGCCAGACGGATTTAAACTTTGTTGGCTGAAGACCCAAGTTTGGTTTGAAGAAGAAAAACGTACCAAGCACGATGTTCTCACCATTCCTGATTTCTAACACACCGTTTGGTGTGGTCTTTCCGCTGTCAGAGCTTAAATGAAAGCTGCTGTTCTTAGACCCTCCCCTCGAAGACATCCGGATAGAATTGGTTAAGAGTGGACAAAAGAGACGGATTAAAACATCAGGTGCAAACAGGAATGTGTTTACATTCCCACGTCTACTTGTGAACCGATCGACCAAAACATCTTAAAATCATCTAAAAAAATCTTAATATCGGGTGTAAACAGGGCCCAAGATGACTTAAAATCGCCATTAATTTTTTTGTTAAAATATCATAACTCGATAAAATAACAGACTTCTCTCTGTGATGCATGCCGGACTTTAATCATTTTGTCCGCTTCCCCTTTCTTATAGTCGACTGCTCGGATTCAGATCTGCCTCCATCCAATCAACAACGGATGCATAGAACCATTTCATTCAGATGTACATCACAATATGGACGAAAAGATCTGTTGCTACTTCCGTTACATCATGCCTAAAGCTAAAAGGCATAAAAAAATCTCTTGATTTCACGGGCTCTTTTAAATAGGTTGTTTTTGGTTGCATTCCCTTGTTCTTAAAGACATTCATCTCAAGAAGGGGTGGCTAGCCTTTAGCCTAAATAATGCCTGTAAACCATGTCAGTTATTCACTCTGCACATTTCAACCTGAAATTCTGCTCTTTTCCTGCATCCTGGGATCAACAGAGCTCTAGATCAAATGTAGACCCAAGAGGCGTCCTAATTGTGACAATTTGGTGTCTTATTTTAGATCTTCTTGTGAAAGTATGTCAGGTTTGATTGGAAAAAGAAGTCTTGACAAGGTTTGTTCTTTTGAAATCTTTTTTTAGATTTCAGGAAGACTAATAACAGATCTTGACAATGACTTATTGGAGAAACATGCTAAGAGTGTGTTAACTCTTTCCTCCAGCGTTTCTTAAGAAAGTTGTCAGCATTTTTGACAATTTTCACACAACTTTCATGGGCCCCAGAATAT